AACCCCCCCCCCCCCCCTTGCCAATTGCTGGCCCCTCTACAAGCCCCACAGGCCAGATCACACAGCTCTGTGGGCTGGATCTGGCTCATGGGCCCTACATTTGACACCTCTCCCTGAAAAGGAGGAAGTGGGATAGAAACTCGAGCTCATTTTGTCATTTCAAGGTATATCAACACAGTGCAAAACAGCAAGCAGTGTTTTAGGAAGCACAACTTATTGTCATGTATACAACAGCCAAACTACATGGCTAAATTACTGCCAGTGTCAGTACTAGCACCTATGAAGCATGGGTTGCATGTCCCACTGTGGTGCTGCCTTTTTCTATATAGCTAGAAGATATCTTTTACAGGCTTACTTTATGGGTGTCTGCAATTTCTCAGGCAGCATCATTTCCTCATGGGTTACTCTTTTATTCTGGATGCAGTGTGAAGGACTCCTACATTCTAGCCAGAATCAGCTGGTTCTCAACCTTTTTAGATTCAAGGCAGCCCTCCATAACTTTTTTGAACTTGGTGGCTCCCTAGTTGAGAACCACTCTTGTGCTGCCTCAGCTTACCTCAGTGATTCTCCACTGGGGTTTGGCTGCTGTACCACAGCCAGGTGGAACTGCCCCATGTCTCATGGGCACAGTCAGATAAGCCTAAAGCAGACAGGAACACATGCTCTTGCTGCAGCCCTTCCCAGTCTGGTGCCTGAAATGCTCTTCTTGGCAACAGCATTGCATGGGACAGTTCTACCTGCTTTGTGCATCTCTGTTTCCAGGATGAGCATGAAAGGTACAATAAGAAAGGGCGGTGGTAGGATCATGTGCTCATGAGTGCTGTAACACCCCAGAAAGGATCTTGTGGCACCACAGTTGAGCACCACTGATCCTGTCACCATATTGTCTGAAGGTAAAAATTACAAAAGCAACTTAGGCACTTAGGGCTGGCTCCAGAAAATGCCAACAGAACTTAGTTTGCATGGCATTGCTAAACCTAACTTTGAGGCATGTTGCCAAACTCCAGGCTGGCTGTTTATCCTCTGTGTACAGCACTTGGAAAAAATAGTATTAGAGCTGCAAAAGTTAGCTTGCTGTGCCATGCCATGCCCTGCTCTTGGCATAGGCACCAGGGATCATCATTCTAGATCAGTGCATAAAGCTGGTGCCCTACTTACCCCACCCTACTTCCACTAGTGGCCCATGAAGAATTAATTCCTTGCAAACAGGAACAGCTTTATTTGAAAGAGCCTCACCCCGGACAACCCTACAGCTTGGGATGGGGGGTTTAAAATGGCAGATGGAACATGCAAGTTCAGATCTCCTTTGTGTCTAACGTGAGCTGAACTTTGCTCTTGCACATCCTGGATTAGTGCTCTAATCATTGACATGTTAAAGTAGAGGCAGGCATGGCCACTAACTCCCTACTCCTCTCCTCAAATGCTGTGCATTGCCTGATGATCAGGCAGGTACTATCTGAGACTATCTGGATCAAACCCTTTAGGCATGGGCAGATTCAGGATTTACTAAAGGGTGCTGCAGCACACTGCCCCTCAGAGCAAGGGGACCGTGGGGGTGAGACATGGCTGGAGCTGTCAGCTTGGTAGGGGACCCCAGGATGCCAGGCAGGAAGCGGGTGTAAAACGGGGTGACTCACCCCCCTCGGACACTGCTGCCATTGTTTCCAGCTGCTCTGGAGGTTGTAGGGGACGGGTGGGGTGGGGGTTAGGGAGCAGAGCTGCTTCTGCCCCACTCCAGCAAGGGGCAATAGGGAGCAGCTGTGTTAGGAGCTGGGCTCGGCCAGGTATAGTGATGGTGGCAAAGAGTTTCCTCCTTTCAGCCCCTGCTCCCTGCCCCCTCCCTCCCTCTCTCCTAGGCAGGGGACCATGCATAGAAAAAACAAAGCAAAACAGCATTGTAACTCATTCTTTATATCCATGTTTGCAGTCTCAGGGGTCATGCTGGATCCCCAGCTGCCATCATGCAATCAGTGGCAGTATCCTGGAGTCTTTCTTAGGAGCATTTCTTGGTAGCAACCTAACACTGATGCTTCATGATTTGCACTTGTTCGTTGCTTACCACTTGGAATGTAAAGTCTTGGGTTTAACCTCTAAAGTCCTAAATGGATTTGGACCTCCATAGTTAGGAGACCAACTTTCTTCCTGTAAGACACTTCTACAACTTCAGGTTATGGAAGTGCTCAAACTGGTGGTAGGACATTCTCCCAGAAGAGTCTTTAGTTTTCCTCTTTGGTCAAAAATAGCTTCAAAAATACTTCAGAGCTCACTATGTGTCTGCATGTGTCAGCTACTGAGGTATCCTTTGGAGGACAATAAGACCTGTAGGGACGTGCACTTGGTAATCTGCAGGGTATTTGTTTGTGGTGGAAATTCCCAGTGGGTGTAACTTGTATCTTTTCATTATTTACCTAACTAAAGATGGTATCTTTTTTCCCCGTTTGAGTCAACATCCACCCTGAGCTCAAAAAATGGGCCCTAGCATTGCAGTCACTGTCCTGTTACCAGAGACAGCCATTTCACAGAGGGGTCTGGGCTCTTGATGTCCCTCAAAGCACTATATTTGATTTGTAGTCTGATGTCTTCTTGTGCTGCTGTTCTTTTTTTCCTTATTCTCCAGGTGTATATACCTTTCTTTCCAGTACCTTGAAATCTCTGGAAGAAAAGGACTATATTCATCGTGTTCTGGACAAAATTACAGATACTCTGATTCACTTAATGGCCAAGTCAGGTCTTTCTCTGCAGCAGCAACACAGGCGACTGGCTCAGCTTCTCCTCATCCTTTCACATATCAGGCACATGAGGTGAGAGCACCAATACACATTTTGCTTTCCTGCACTGTACAAGTCAGCAGTAGCTAGTGTGCAAGCAAGGTTTACACTTAGGTTGAACGTTATATTACTCTATGAATTGGCTCTCCTCCGAGGAGCTCTCCTCAGTGGGAGTACTTGTAGAGGAGGGTGTGCTTATCACGGTCTGGCTTGTGATATGGATTTGTGCCTAAACCTTCTGTGCATAAAGGCAGGTAATACCAATTTGTAAGAGGTGCAAAGTGGTGCTGTGTGAGCAGGCTTTATCAAGACAAGGGTTAAAAATATTCACCGGCCTCTCTTATAGTACTCTCCATTGGTAGATTGCAGAGTACTTTGCTAAGATGGTCAGTGGCATCATTCCTATTTTGTAGAGGAGGAAACTGAGGCACAATGTTATAAAATGGCATGCAGACTAGTGGCACACCAAGGACTTAGAGACCAAGGATGGAATCCTATTTCCTTTTGCATGTCTAAATGGGAGTGTCTGAGTCATGCTCAAGTGCACTCCTTGTGCATGTGTAGAGTATAGGTGAACAGGCTTATAAGACCAAAGGGTAGAGTGGGGCCCCAAAATGGCCGGAGAGAGTACTAGAAAACTGTCACTTAGATATGCAAAGGGAAGTTGAATTTTGCCCCAGGTTTCCTGAGTTCCAGTCCTGTACTCTACCTCAACTGTACACATAAAAGTTTTAATAATAAACATGGTGAAATCTGTGAAGAATTCCAGTTGCTTTTTGTCTAAGCAAAAATATATAAATCATTATCAGTTAAATTGCTTGATGCTTGTGAAGTTGCACTCATCTACCTACATGCTGTAGTGTTACAAAGCTGACAATTCTAAGAAGATACTGTTTATTATTAAAGCTGCTCAGGACATTGTTTAGTGAAAGGGGTTGAGTTTCTTTAATTCCAGAAGAATGGCACTTAACATAGTGGTGTGTGCCATGTTATGACAGTTAGGATTGAAAAAAAAACTCTGATTTTCCTCCAAAACAGCTTTAGACCTTCAGAGAAAACTTAGTGTGTGTGTGTGTGTGTGTGTGTGTGTGTGTGTGTGTGTTGATTCCTCTCTTTTTCATTTTTTCTGAAGAATTTGTAAATTTGCATGCATTATTTTGTTATTAGTCTTTACCTGAAACTCAGTGATTTGGTAGTCAGGGCTCTGGATATGAGCTTCCAATTAATAAGTCAACAAAGTTTACTGCTGTTATTTCCTAGGAAAATGAGGGGAGAAACTGTGATAATGGAGTTATCATTACATAGTAAGATGGTGAATTTTTAATGGCCACCACCAAACATTGTGCAGTATAATTTCATTGTGTTTTCTCTCGATTAAATCACAGCAATAAAGGGATGGAGCACCTGTACAACATGAAGTGCAAAAATGTAGTACCTCTTTATGATTTGTTGCTGGAGATGCTAGATGCTCACCGACTGCATGCCCCAGCAGCTAGAAATGCTGCCCAAGTAGAAGAGGAGACTCGGCTGACAACTGCATCAGCTTCATCGCATTCCTTGCAGTCATTTTACATAAATAACAGGGAAGATGAGAATTTGCAAAACACAATATGAGAGTCCATATGTCAAAAAAACCTGCCATGTTCTGAGGATCCCAACAGCATACTACCTACTTCATGCATCACTTTAGCTAAATTGCCATGTGTAAACACTCCAGTAGGCATTAATCACCAGTGATTTCCAAACCAAGTGTTCACTGATCACAAACTAAAATTCATTGTTATGGATAGCCAGCATGGATTGCAAAGATAACTTACTCTGAAATTTGGAATTGCCCCTATTAACCCTGTGCAGACACTGAGATTAGGATTTCTGTAGCCTTTGCTGATATCAACCCAACATTTCAGACTTTCTTGACCCATTGCTTGGAAACCATTTGGGCAAAGGCACCAGCTAGGTTTGACTAGCAGAGGTGTTTACATTGAAAGGTCTATTGGCTCCACAGTGAGCTTATAGGAAAACCTCAATGCTAGAGACTGCCTTGTTAAATAGCTGAGGTCTTGGTAGACTGCAGCCTCTCTTGTTCTTAAAGTAACAAAGATAATTTTTCTGGATGTAGAATTGTTTTTTGGCTTTATTTTATTGGCTGACAAGTAGATGTTTCCCTCTTCTGGATGACATTGACTGTCCAGCCAGGTATATTTATCCTCCCCTACAGCCATACTGCACTGAGTGCACTTGATCTTCTCTGATCTCATAAGCTGAATAATTCTGAGCCTCAGTAGTACTTAGCTGAAAAACCACCTGGGAAACACGATGCTGTAGTCAATTGCCCCTGTGTCAGACTAGATTAACATAATGGTCACTTCAAGCCTAAAATTCTGCATCTGAAAAAGCATGGTTAGACTCCTCTGTCCATAGTGTTTTGATGACAGTTAGCTAAGTGAAAATAAAATGATGTACCAGCATGCTAGTGTACCAGAACTGTCCTCCCTCCCATCACTCCCACCAATAAGCCTGCAGTGCCATGGAAAAGCTGTGCTAACATAGAGTCCAGGCCTGTAGGTTACATACAAGCTGAGAAGTCTACCCTTCCCTTCTCCTCAAGCCTTACTGGGGTATTCTTAGATGACAATTACAGCTAAACTTTTGCTCACTTGTGCCATGTCAAAGGTGCACAGAAACTGAATCATATTTGGGGCTCTATGGTAACATACATATTTCATGAGGGAAAATAGTCCCTTTCCTTGTCTACAACTGCCTTTTAGTATAAATAAGGGTTAGTCTGAATCTAATCAGTTCTCCAAAAAAATGCACATTATTCTTACTGACACTACTAGGAACTGCAACTACTTGTAAAGGGTGAGTAATATCAAGGAAGGTATACCCTTAGGGTACTGACACTGAGTGCCATTAAAATTCAGATTTCCATCCCTTTTGTAGTTCTATTTATTGCAGTCTATTTCATTCTTAAGGGCAGGGGACGCAAATACTGCAACCCAGAAGAGTGGCCACAATGGTCCACACTGGAACACAAGCAGAAGTCCAGGGACAGCAAGAAACAACTCAGAGAAGCATGGAGATCTCAAGGCATGGTACATGTTTGTGCTGCAAGCCAAAGTCTTAATTCTATCCTCAGACAAGTGCAATGTTGACTTTGATGGGAATTGCACGTATATATCTGAGCACAAAGTTTAGTTGCAAATCCACAAGTTACCTCTACCTACATGAATTTTATTTCTAAAAATTGCTAAGAAGTTGTCTGAGTGAAAGCTGTGCTCTAAATTTGTGAATAATTTAATCTAATCTTAACATAACAATCCTGTTGCTACAAAATTAGCTTAATTTCCAGTGGCCTTAGCTTTTTTTTTTTTAATTCTGAACATGGTCATTTGTCTTTCAGTGTGTGCAGTGAAAGCAGTGGCTACATGCTGAAACCTGTTACCCAAAGGCTAACAAGGGGGCTCCTAAGTGCCTTGTCATAAAATGCATTCATTTTTGTTTCTATTTTGTAACTATTTTTTCTGTGTTGGAAAAGTCTTGTGTGTACTATTTCATTTCAATAAGCAGAGGTCAAGATCTGACTAGGACACGGGAAGTCTTGTAGCCATAAGAAACGTTCATGTTGTGATTGCTCATTCAATATATGTTTATTAGCCATGCCCACGTTCTAGTTGATAGAACACACATGAATCAAGGCTATTAGCTCATCTAAGCTTCACAGTTAAATGCCTCCTTTTTCTGCTTCTCCCAACAAAAAAGCATGCTGGGCCCAGTGTACCCTTCAAGGAATTAAATACACTTAGGTCTCTCTTTATGCGAGGGTTGTGTTCAAAAAAACCCACCTTGCATAAAGCAAATTCGCATAAAGCAAATCCATTATTACATGTAATTAATAGGGATAGGTATCAGCCTCACTCTACTGCCCCCCTCAAACCATGACAAATTCAAACAGTAATCACATAATATGATAACATAATAAAATAAAAATTCACCTGACATGGTAAAAATAATTAAAAAAAAAAATTCCACTCTGCTCCCAGCCCCCTGCTGCTGCCCTCCACCCAGCGCATCCCCAGCTTTTCCTGGCACTTGGGTGGAGGCAAGGTGTTAAAACCGGGCTGTGCTGGGCAGCAGCACGGGGCTGGGAGTGGAGCTGAAGTGAAATTTGGACCGTCAGCAGCTTCCTCCCAATGCCACCAGAGCCTGCTCCAAGCCCAGGCCTGGCTCCACCCCACAGCGGCAACCCACCCCACACCGCACAGATCTGGGGGCACCCCCCCCCATGCCCCTGCCCTCCTCGGGTGCAAGCAGCAGCAGGAGCTACACCCACCCTACAAGCCGTACCTCTGTCCTGCATGCCACCCTGCCCTGGCTGGGCAGCACCTGCCTCTGCCCCCTCCCCGTGGGGGGTGTTGATCTGCCCACCCACACCCCTTCCCTCCCTGCTCCCCTTCTGACTTACCAGCTGGAGTCAGCTCTCCACACTGCTGGCTCTGCTCCATGCTGCTCTGTGGCTGCAGACAGCATGGGCATTTATCAACCAAATTATTGGCCCTATCGAACCAATATTCAATAGAGACAATTTTCTTTATATTGGTACTGATCTGATGTATTAGTGCACCTCTACTTTACTCATGTCACTACATAGCCCCGTTGCATGCCTCTTCACATAAGATTAACTTTTTCTCGCAGAAAGCAAATTTCTGTTATAAATAAGGTTGTTGCATATAAACAAATTTGCACAAAACAAATTTGCATACAGAGAGACCCAAGTGTATAGCATTATATCCCATGGTCAGCAACTGAATGTCCCTGCGACATACGTGCGAATTTTGGAGTGGAAACAAATTAGGAAGCACATCAAAACATGGCCGCGAATTTTAAAAATAAGTTAAAAAGTAGGTACATAACAGTACTTGGGATTCTTTTTTAACCTGGACCCTTACAATAAGGTAACTTATTTAGTTCTAAAAGTATCTTGTAACCAAAAAGTTGTTGGAATCCAAAGGAAAAAAAATGTTGAGTATATCAAATACCACATATATTAGCTTGGGGCAGTTTTCAGTGCTCTGCATCATTAATTTGTTCTTAACATTTTTCTTTAAAAAAGCACCTTAAATAATGTATTAAAAATATAATTATACCTATACACACACACACACACACTCATATATATATATATATACACACACACACACACACACACACACACACACACACACACACACACACACACACACATATATATATATATATATATATGTGCATAGTTCACATATCAGACAATTGAATGTACCTGTTCTGTTAACCCAGTTAACGGAGTCTATGATACGCAAAACAAAAGTATTTTCTTTTATTGAGAGTTTTGAGGTACTTTATCATGTATGCAATCATTTGTGCCTGGGGCTTACTGATTGTTAGTTTACATGAAAAAATTTCATATATACTTCATATGTGCAGTAGATAAACCAGCACTACCTGAAATGCCTAATGCCGGCTATAAAGAGAAATACCGTGTATTAAAGAACTTGGTTGAGAAGGAAAAGTATTCAGGGCAGCTAATTATGCTTTTACCAAAACATTAATAGTGATTCTTTGGACTGTAGCTAATGAGACAATAATTATTTTGTAATGTTTATACTTGGATTTATAAAAAATAAAAAACAAAAACCAAATACCCTAGACACATAGGCAATGTACAACCAGCATAAGACAAATAGTAACAGTTCAGATAAAATTGCTTGGTGTATCAGAACAGTTCTAGTGTAATACTGATTATTATAAAAAGTTTGGGGAAGAGGTGAAGGTGGTAATGTGAACAGTTTCATCTGCTAATTGTCTGGGTTTCCTGCTCCTCTGTAGTTGACTGAGTCATGGCTCAGTTTGGCAGCCTGCGTCCAGTAAAACTCCCATGGAAGACAGACTAGGCAGTATAGGAAGACAGTGCTAGACTAAAATAACTTCATGAGCAGCTTCCTTGATGTTTTTTTGTGATGCTTTTACTGTTCTGTGCCAATGACATTTCCTGTTTTTTTAATATCGTCAAGAGTTTGGTAGATTAAAAAATGGTCACTAAGCAAGCAAGCAAGCACTGGATGTCATTTCCATTGATAATGCATGGATTGCCAACAAGTCAGTGCTTTAACATGAAAGGGGTATGTCTCATACTGGAGTCACTATCCATTTCAGTTTCTAGTGCCTGGATTCCAGAAGAACTGTGCTAAAATGCTAAAACTGAAAGGAAACACATCTGAATGAAAAAGGTTTCCCTTTTACACAAAAAATCCTGCTCCACTGAAGTCAATTTGAGCCTTCCCACAGACTTCAATGAGACCAGGAGCAGGCCGTGTTCTTGTACATATAGTACCTTGTTTGTAAAATTAAGATGCAACTCAACTTAAAACCAACATGATTTAGTGGTAAGATGTCCGCTGAATTAGTGTGAAGTTCATGTACTACTTGAGATCATTGTAAATGCTATCAACAAATGTATTAGTTTTACAAACAAAATAGCCTCATAGTTGAAGAAGTGTCATGTTAAGACTGGATCTTAATGCATTGTATTTTTAGCTACCACCCAAAAATACACCCCATTTCAAATGGACTTGAATGATTTCAGTTGTAAGGTACCAAAATTCACATCTCTAGCATGAATAATGTATGCTTTCTATTTACATTCTTTCTTTTAATTCAAATGTAGATATTCTTATGTCCAAATAGTTGTATTTTCAGTGATTGTTGCCTTCAGGAGGGCACTTCAATTTTTGCACTGTCTGTAAAAGATTAAAAAAAATCTAATCTTTTTTTGCGTTTAAAAAAATGTGCCTGAACTTTAAGAAATGTATATGCTGCCATGTTGCAAACCCATGTTCAGTTAGTGTGCTCTGTACTCCTGTGTGCCTCAAATTAGTAGTCTGTTTCTTTAGAAAGTGCCAATTGAAAAATGAAGAGATAGATTGCTAGTCACAAAGACTTGCATTAACAAGCCACTTTTATACCACCTTATTGTACATATCATAAAAAACTATTAAGCTCTTTTGTGCACTACTTACTCTTTCACTGTAGAGCCCTTTCTTTAGTATGAGGCTCAGGTGCCATAATGTATTAGTTGGATTATACTGCTCTTTCACTGATGCATATACTGTTATTGGTGTCTTTGTTTTGTTGAGGTTTTGCTTTGTTATATGAGAAACACATGTAAACCTCTTTTGCACCTTTACAAGAATGTTACAAACAAAATCTGGTGATACCTGACTTGTGCAAGATTTTTTGCAAACTATTTGATGTTGAATAAAAAAATAAAGCAGAGTAAGGTATGTTTGTCGTATGTTGGATGGCTTCAACAAAGGCGGTGGTAAAGCAGTGTAAACTATATGGTTGATTGGAGCCCTCAGCTGGGCAATGCATAATTGTTATACTTTAAGGTTCCTTATATCATGTGTCTAGTAAAGGTTGGGGCCTGCAACTGAATCTTTGAATGGGGTTCCCCAAGGGTAAACTGAGCTGCAGTTTTAAAAAATGCTTTTCTGCTCATTGCCTTTTGGGTAAGGTCATAGAGTAGATTCATAGATTCATAGATTCATAGATTAAGGGTCGGAAGGGACCTAGTAGATCTTCTAGCCCGACCCCCCGCCAGGGCGGGAGAACAACAAAAAGCCCCAAAAAGAGAAATGGGACTCAAACGAGTCCAGCCAGGTAGGCATCCAGCCTCTTCTTAAAGACCCCCAGGGTAGGGGCCAGCACCACTTCCCTTGGAAGTTGGTTCCAGCTCCTAGCCGCCCTAACCGTGAAGTAGTTTTTGCGGATGTCCAATCTATACCTCCTCTCCATCAGCTTGTGCCCATTACTCCTTGTTATGCCAGCGGGCGCTAGGGGAAACAGCGTCTCCCCCAAACCCTTCTGGTCCCCCCTAGTGAGTTTATAGACAGTCACCAGGTCCCCCCTTAGCCTTCTCTTGTGGAGGCTGAATAGGTTCAGGTCCCGCAGTCTCTCACTGTAGGGTCTGCCCTGTTGTCCCCGGATCATGCGGGTGGCCCTCCTCTGGACCCTCTCCATGTTGTCCACATCCCTCTTGAAATGGGGCGCACAGAACTGGACACAATACTCCAGCTGTGGCCTGACCAGCGTCGCGTAGAGGGGGAGGATCACCTCCTTGGCTCTACTTGAGATGCACCTGTGGATGCACGACAAGGTCCGGTTAGCCCTGCCAACCATGACCTCGCATTGTCGGCCCATGTTCATCTTGGAGTCAATAATGACTCCAAGATCCCTTTCTGCCTCCGTGCTCTCGAGTAAGGAGTTCCCCATTGTATAAGTGTGCTGCTGGTTCCTACTGCCCAAGTGCAGCACCCTGCACTTGTCCGTGTTAAAACGCATCCTGTTCCTGTTAGCCCACCCCTGTAACCTATCCAGATCCCTCTGCAATCTCTCCCTCCCTGCTAGCGTGCTCACCTCCCCCCAGATTTTGGTGTCATCAGCGAATTTAAACAGGTTACTTTCCACCCCATCATCCAGATCGCTGATGAAGAAATTGAACAGCGCAGGCCCCAGGACCGAGCCCTGGGGGACTCCGCTACCCACCTCCCCCCAGGTCGAATATGACCCATCCACCACCACCCTCTGAGTGCGACCCCTCAGCCAAGTGGCCAAAGCACAAGATTCAGAACAGAGGCATCAAAGATAATTTTTGTTGGGGGTGGGGTCACAAAACACAAACAGAAAAAATGTTTATCTACATTACCAGGAGATAAAAGTTCTATTGAATTTCTTTACTGCACATCTCATTTATACTTGTCCTGGATATAAGTCAGGGCTTCTGCCTGACTTATAGGTATTGAAGCAAAATATTCTCCTTTTTAGTGTTTCAGGCATATCTATATTGTCTTCAGTGTAGCACAGCGATGCATGAAACAACATTAAATGACATAGGTAGAGTATTGGAAGCAGTTTAACTGTAGCATCACAAAACTCTGTGTGAGCTCCATTATCTGGCAAAAAAGTCAGATAGCAG